GGGCCTGCCCGTGGGGGCCCACGGGAGCCCCGGCTCAGTCGCCCTGGTGTTGCGGCGGACCCCTGCTTTCCAGCACGGCTCCCGGGTCGCCCCACAGGCATCAGCTCTCCCTCCTTCCTGGTTGGCTCTTCCCCGGCGCCCCCCTGAATGCACGCCCAGGCCCCGTCTCAGGTCCGTCTGGGCGCTCCGGACACACAGAGGCTGTGACCGCGGGGGCAGCCCAGGAAACAGCCTGCAGGGCCCGCCCCTCGCCCCTCGCCCCAGGGCCAGCCTCATGCCACCCCACATTGACTTCGCTGGCACCTCCCTCCACCCGTGGAGGTGAGACGTTGCCGCAGCGTGTGTGGGAGAGGCCGGGCGCCACCCCAGGCGCCCCCATTCTCGGTGCCCCAGAGGACAGGGCCGTGGGGCCTGGCACACCCACGCCAGCAGCCAGCCCCTGCCCCACCTGTCTGGGGGGGCAGCTCCCCGCCCTGGCCCAGCACAAGGCACCAGGACCTCAAAGTGGCCACAGAAAGGGGGGGCGCCTGGGGCCCTGGGGACTCCCGATGGCCTCTTTTGGGGAACCCACTAAGAAGACACACTAGAGTCATCTTTCTGCTGAATTTTGGCGACGCTCCAGTAAAGCCCCGTCAAGGTAAAGCCACCCTGTGCCAGCGGGGTCCGGCGGCCGGCGGGGGCCAGGTGGGTGTGGACACGGGTGGGGCCTGCAGGAGGCACAGCCTGGCGCCCCCTCCCCGCCCGCCCCAGGGGCCAGGGCTGCTGAGGGGCGCCCGCGGCTAGCAGTCCAGGGCTGCTGGAGGCGAGGGTGACTGAGCCCGCTGTCCCGGAATTTCTGTCAATGAGGGAGAATCCCATGAGGGCGCCTCTGGGCTGTGCGAGGGCTGGGGGAGCCGACACCCACACCCTGGACCCCAAAGCCAGCGAGGGGCGGCCGGAGGCTGAGGGGAGGCCAGCGAGGATGGCCGCCCGCAGGGCCCTGCCCATGCCTCTGCGGGCAGTGGGCGGCCTGGGGCCCCGCGCTGGAGTGGGGGTCTCGGCCTGGCAGAGGGGCAAGGACGCCCCTCCCAGGGGTGATGGCCGGAAGCGACTTCCCACTGGCCGCAGCGGACAGTGGCCTTGGGCAGGATCCGGCTGGATGGGGACCAGCTCCGTCGCCCTGCGCTGGGTCACCCGCACGGCCGCGGGGCCGCGGGGCCGCACTGGCTCCGGCCGGCGGGCAGCAGAGCGGGGCGAGGTGGTCTGGCCTGGCGCTGGCGTGTGCATCCGGGGCTGGCCAGCCGGCTGCCCTCGTTGCCCGGGCTGGAGCCCGCCCTTCCTCCCCAGCTGGGCCCTCTGCACAGGCCTGGCGCCGGGCCCAGCTCGCGCCCTCCCAGCTCGCCCACCTGCCATGACATGCGGGAAGCCCCTCGGCGCCGAGGCCGCCCGGGCACCTTGATGCCCACGTGCTGCCGGCACCGCGAGAGGCCACCGCTGCCAGGCACGGGCACAGGGGCCGCTTGCCTCCAGGTGGCCGCTCGCGGCTCCCCGCTTCTCCTCCCCAGCAGCGCCCAGGGCCCTTCCCATTTGCTGTGCTGCCGGCGGGTCTCCCCAGGCCGCGGGTCTCCCCAGGCCGCGGGTCTCCCCAGGCCGCGGGTCTCCCCAGGCCGCGGCTCAGCCGGCAGCAGCCCAGCGGCAGGAGGCGGGAGGCACAAGGTCAAAGCCAGCGGCAGGGAGGATTTTAGGAGGCAGCGCGGGCGCCTCCCCTCTGACTCTTGACCCCCATGAACCCCTCATCCCCTCCGGTCAGCCGCGGTCAGCATCTGACAGCGGCGCTGCGGTTGCACCCAAAACGCCAACACGTGACACATCAGCCCCCCCCCATACACGACTGAACAAACCCGCGGGGCCGCGCCTTCCCCACGCCTCTGGGAGCTGCGGCCGCGCCGAGC